TTATTCACTTTAATGTCATTAAATGACTACAGAGGTTAAAAACAAAACACACATACTAAAAGTACCGTGTCCGGTGCAGTTTGTTGTTTTCAATGTCAATGTACACAAATGTATGTTAATAATATTCAGATATTATTAGCATATGGCCTCTTCAAGTCTACAACTACACAAGAGGGCCAGCGACTCTAGCATCCCAAATGACCCGCGTACGATAAACAAAACAAAAAAAACGTGACGGAAGTTTCCAGCAATTTATAATTGAAATGTCTCGCAGAACTTTCCATTAGCTAGTTTGGATGATGATTCACTGACTCTTAATGTTCAGGAGAAACATGTTTATGCGATCCCATCGACTGTGATCTTATCTAATCCTCTTTGAAAGTTCATCTAAATTACATTTTGAGTGGATCAGTTATGAACTCGGCTAAACCACTGAAAACAGGAAGTTACACCTGTCTGCTTTTCCATACCTCTCTCTCTCTCACGCATATGAACCGAATGCTTTTAGTTTCGAGATGCTGCAAATCAAACCAGTCCTCTAGAACAAGACCTTAATTAGGTGCACTTCTATAACGCAGTTTAGGCCTGCTCTGTCTGGCACGCTTTCCTTGTATGATTTGCAAGTGCTTTTGGGAATAAATTGTGAGAGTGTGTTGTCAAACAGTGAGTAAATCTAATAAAGCCATGTGAGCAGATGTATGCATGCTCTCAGATCAAATTCCATTGAAATTCACAAGGCCTCCTTTGAAAGTATCATAAACAGAGTCTGTTGACCCAGAAAGGTTTGGAGGAAGTTGATGGTAAATGAGGGAGAATGTTTGTCTGTGTTTGTGTTCAGATATGCAAAGCAGACAAGGCTTTGAAAGACAGGAATGAGGTACGTGCTCACAGCTTTACATATAAAACATGCTGTATGGGAGTTTTATATTTTCTGAATAAACTGTGAGTGGTGTTTGCGTGTGCTAGGGTATTATTACTATGCAGCGTTTTTGTGTGGTTGCATTTCTAGTGTTAATTTTGTCATCAACATTACTTAATAGCTGACTTTTATTATTTTGTTAACAAAAGCAAATAAAAGCTAATACTAATATAACTACCAAAAAGTAGTTTGACGCATTTTTAAATGAATGAATATGTATATATTAAATATCAATATCAAAATTGATATGGTCAAAAAATGGTCTCTTGCTTTAAAAAAAAAAAAAAACGTATATAGGTAAAAATACTTTTGTCAACTTTTTTTTTTTTTTTTTTGTTTGGGCTTTTTTTTAAGTGAAAAGTGACTAAATCTGAAAGAATAGTTCACCCAAAAATGAAAGTTAGCTAAAACATTACTCACCTTTAAGCAGTGTTGGGGAGTAACTAGTTACATGTAACGGAATTACGTAATTTAATTACAAAATAAAAGTAATTGTAATCAGTTACAGTTACTAAGAAAAACTTTGTAATTAAATTACAGTTACTTATGAAAATGTTAAGGATTACAAAGGGGGTTACATCTGATTTTTTCCCACACACTCCCACATACAGATTTAATTGAGTTCTTTCATAAATTGAAACACCAATGTTTCAGAAGTTTGTAACATGCTTATCCGATAGGGTTTATGTATATGCTTTATTTTTTTTAAGGTTAACAGTTTTTTTCTAAGCCATTGTTAGATTCCAGTGTTTCCTGTCATAGCTAAGCAAAGATTTGATTTCAAAAACAGTATCATAGCTATTAAACTATTTCTTGTTATGATTTTAAATATGTATTTAACCTCAGAATGATTTTAAAGTAAGTCTGATTTTGTGGCGGCTGTGCTTCAAAGGGGACATCGGATGCCCATTTTCCACAAGTTGGCATTTTAGTAAGTGAAAAGTGACTAAATCTGAAAGAATAGTTCACCCAAAAATGAAAGTTAGCTAAAACATTACTCACCTTTAAGCAGTGTTGGGGAGTAACTAGTTACATGTAACGGAATTACGTAATTTAATTACAAAATAAAAGTAATTTCACTCCAAAATCAAAATGGCTTGATAATTGAGACTTATCCTGTTTAGGTTTTTGGGGGATTCAAAAAAAAGGAGTGAATTTGTATCATTGTAGGGTGGTTGTGTCCACACACTGCTAAGACACATTTATATGCAAAGTAAGATACTTTGCATCCAATGTCTCCTTTAAAATTAAAATATTATAATCTTAATTTATTTCGAAAGTCTGACAGTTATCAGTGTTGAGCACATATTGTAAGTTTAACCCTGCCGGGTTTACATGTTTAAAAATTATTAATAGTTGAAAACATTAGAAATGTAGAAAAGTAATCAAAAAGTAATCAAATGTAATCAGTTACATTACTTTAATAAAGTAATTGAAAAGTTACACTACTTATTACATTTTAAGTAGGGTAACTTGTAATCTGTAACCTATTACATTTCCAAAGTAACCTTCCCAACACTGCCTTTAAGTCATCCAAGATGTAGATGAGTTTGTTTCTTCATCAGAACAGATTTTGAGAAATTTAGCATCACATCACTTGCTCACCAGTGGATCCACTGTAGTGAATGGGTGCCGTCAGAATGAGAGTTCAAACAGCTGATAAAAACATCACAATAATCCACAATTAATCCACACCCTTCCAGTCAATATGCACAGATCAAGCACCGTTTACAAGCCAAAACAGTTCTAAACAAATATGTCATGGGTTTTTGATGTGAGAGGACAACAGGGGACGGACTTTTCACTGGAGGAAGCGTTATTCTGGATTATGGACTCATATTTTGGCCAGAAGCAACAGTTTAAAGTTAAAAACATCTTAATAATGGAATTATTTCTTAGAAACATGCAGCTTTGCATATCACAAGACGTTAATTGATGGACTGAAGTGGTGTGGATTACTGTGATGTTTTTATCAGCTGTTTGGATTGTCATTCTGATGGCACCCATTCACTGCAGTGGATCCATTGGTGAGCATGTGACGTAATGCTGAATTTCTCCAAATCTGTTCCCAACAGAAACAAAACTCATCTACATCTTGGATGGCCTGAGGATGAGTACATTTTTAGCAAATGTTCAATTTTGGATTAATTGTTCTTTTAATGAATATGACATGACAATCACTGACTAAAGGAAATTTTCCTCAAAACTATGACTAAGTTATGCTTTTGGCCATGCATTCTTGTCATGCCATTGTTTTTAACTATTTTTATTGTCCAGCTAGAAAAGTACACGCTGCACAATTTAGAGAACGAGTTGCGCACCAAAGTTTAATGCAAGAGTTCAGGGGTTTGTTTGGGTTCCTAAGCCTTTGTACTAGTATAAGCAATAATAATAGTGAGGCTTGCTTTAGCAAACACCATTAATTACTTATGATGACTTGAAAGCTCATATGAACACCAGATATTGGGGGCAAACCTGGCATACCCTGCTATTACAGTAGAACAATGTGCAGATTTAGATATCAGTGATTTTCTGCATGCTGCCTGTTATTTCACAGAGTGTCCACAATGAAGCGAGGGTGTTACCGTCCAGCGGAGGGTCAGCCAAACCACGACATGCCACAATGATCAGCCATCCATTAACAGCACATAAATGGAAAGTCTTTCACTGTGGATTCCAGTTCTTTGTGATGTATCTGCGCTCCGTCCATTGCTCCTCTGTCTAGATAATGAGTCTTGTGCTGCTCCGCAGGGGCTTTATGTCCTATCGGCTCTGGTATGAGGAAGCTCCTGTCAGACCCGCAGTGGTTAATGGGGTCATATTCTGCTCTTTAATAGCATTTTGATACTTTTCCCTCCTGAATTCCACATATGAAGTGAGTTTTGCCTCCCGAAATTTAGTATTTTGTTTTACTCAACCATTTTACACTTTCAGTCTGAGCCTTAGAAAAGAGAAAAAGCATTTTTGCAGCAGTATTTTTAACACAACCCCTGAGTTCAACCCTTTAAGAGTAAAACAGCAATTATTACTGCCGTTATAACCAACTTAATTTAGCCAGTCAGGTATGACTGTCACCTTACATAATTGATATTCATAAACCAAAATTATGTGTTCCTCATGCATTTCAGATTGTTCCTACACCCCTGTTGATGTGCAAACAGTTATTTTATAACTATATTTAAAGTATAATGAGCGAATGACTAAATCTAAAGGAAATTTTCATCAAAGGTATGACTATATATTCTTGTCATGCCAAGGTTTAATAAGTTTAATTATAAATGAAGGATAATTATTAGCAAGCTCTTTCAGTTCAAAAGAGTAAGAAAACTCCCATTTTCCATGTTATGTCCCTTCAGAGTTTAAACTGTAGCCTGCTAAATGATTCCTGCTAGATTCTGTTTGTGTGTCAGGAAGAGTGACTGACCCCTAAAGAAAACCGAGAGACAAACCAACATCCCAGAATGTGGATTGCACTGTTTGTGTATCTGGCCGCCATCCTACAGATTCCTTGGAATGGTGAATAATCTGATTTGCCTACACTGTAAAAAAAATGGTAATCTACTGGCAGCTGTGGTTGACAGCATCATACTGTAAAAATACAGCGTGCTACCATTTTTGAAATTAACAGCAAAATGCCGTTTTGTCATCTACAGTATACAACTGTAATTTAGCAGCATATATCTTTTGAAATTACATACTAATAACCGCATGATCTCAATTTTAAATGCATATTATACCCTGCATTTTCTAATTGACTGTGTATTACAAAAGAGAACAAAGTGAAGTTATGTTTTGTTATTTTATTCTAGACTAGATAAACTTTTACAATATGCCCTAAAACAGGCATGCATAAAAACATACAAACATAGTCTTTATTTGTTCATAAAATACAAATGTACTCTCAAATCAGGCTTCAGTGAACACCAGCTAATGTTTTTTTTTTTTCCCCAAAACAAATGGTTTATAAAATACAAATCAGCATTTGCCAACTTAAACTCCAATATGGATGATACTTTACTGGAGGTGAATGTCTGTTTGTCCCTACAATGCAAAAGAAAATGGGGATCAAACTTTCAAATACCAACAGACATACTGTCAGGGATCTGGAAGGAGGACCCAATTGCAGTGTGAGTAACAAGGATTTATTGACAAAACAGATCAATACAAAAGGGTTCAAGACAAATAGAGTGTCAGGGCAAAATCCTGACACATACAGTAAATGGAGCATAAAGGTAATTAGTCACATGATTTAGCCAGTTTCTGAAGTGATTAGATTTGTTTGGGTGAAAACAATTTTCACTGTACATTTTGCAATTCCAGTCTCTAATTTGTGGTCCTTTGGTCTGATATTTTGATATCAGACAAAATGACTGGTGATTAATCATACCTTTATGTTCCTTTTGAAACTCGAAGGTTTGGTTCCCACTGGTCTTCCACTGTATGGGCAAAACAGGCATAATTTCTCCACGACAATATCTTCATTTGTCCTCCAAGACAAAGTCCTACGAGTTTGAGACATAAGGTTGCGTAAATGACGAGATAAACATTTTTAGGTGAATGATTACTTGAACAAACAATAGGCAAACTTACATTTTCTTAAAGAAGGAGTCCTTTGCTTCTCTACAAAGTCAGCCTTCAGTAGTTGAACTACAAGGACAAGGAAAACATAATGTAAAGAATAGATAGCTTCTCTAGTTAACTAATTACAGACATTCCCCCCCAAAATTAAAATAAAGTTTAAAAATAAAATAAAACCCGACAGATTCTGTCTTGTCCATCTGCTGCTATTTTTGCAATCGCTAGCAGCGGTTTGAATCGGTTTGAATACGCACGTTCACAGTAATCACGCAAGAATTATGAATTTTGTTCATAAACACATATCTTTTGCTTAGATAAAGATTGGGAGATGTGTCCGTTGTATAAATTGTGTGACGGTAATAAATAACAAATCAAATGCAGTCTGAGTATATATGCTAATGAGCTAACAATGCTATCATATCTTACTCGGTTACTGTTCCATGATTAAAACACGCTATCCTGTCATCAAATTACTCTTTGCTGCATGGCTCTTTATAATGTATGTTAATATTGTACTCGGTAACTTACAGATAAAACCAAAAGCGTAGTTGCAAATAACGGTAGCAGATAATAGACGGTTTGAACCTCACGCTAAAATTGTAAAATTGTCATTCCACAGTAATTTTTTACTCAGATCAAATTTAGGGTGTGCGGGTTAAAAAAAAAGAGTTTCTTACCAGTTTGTGTGTGATATGATGCCAGTCTGTACAAAGGGCTCACCCTCCTGTGGTAACTTGCTGATTAAAACATGGTCACGAATCCGATTTAAATCCCAAAAGTTTAATTGGATGTTTAAACGTTAATATGTAATAGTAATAAGTACTTTAGAAATAAAACAATAAAAGGCAGAGCTGCAAAATGACCTCGTGCAGATAAACCAAAATGTCTTCCTATACACACATGTTCAATGGAAAATATGGTATTATGGTGTTAAATAACAGTGTCATACTGTTGCTGGTCAGCATATCCCACAATGCATCGCAAAAAAACAGTAACGTACTGTTATTATATGAAAACAGCATTTTACTGTTAAATTTCCTTGTAAATTTACAGGAATTTTTAGTGTACTGATGCACATTCAAATTGAATTCAGAGTGCTGTGGCTTAATGGTTAAAGGTCTATGCTGGTGAAGTTGTAGGTTTGAGACACAGAAGTGGAAATTCATGGATTCTTACCATCAGTGCAAGAACTGTTGCAAAACTGTAGGACTGTTGTAAATTTACTTTATGAAACACATAGATCCAGCTCTAAATTCTGACTAGATGAGCTACAGTTGAAAGTAACCAATATATGCACATCTGTGACTGCGGATAATGGGAATTCTATGTTAAAGTTCTATGTCAATCATTTGATTATAGAACACTCTTAAAAATAAAGATTCCAAAGGGGGGTTTGGAGTAATGCCATAGAAGAAGCATTTTGGCTTCCTTGAACATTTCGGTGAACAGTTCTTTTTTTAGAACCACTTTTTTCTTCTGTGTGAAGAACATTTTGATAATCTAAAGAAACTTTTTCCTGAAAAAAGCGCTTTTTATACTTTAAACCTGCTGAACAATACGCACAGGCAAGGATTCACATTTTCTTCAGAAAATTTCAAATTGTAGTTATTATTAAGAAAGTACAGTAATTGTTTAAATGCTGTCTTTTGCTGAACCCAAACCATTATATATAAGTGATTATGTCTCTTGGACCAGTGTGTTACTGAGAACTGTGATTTTTTTTGCATTGTTAAGGAAGTTTTAGGCACTCCAACCTCACTTTGTGCCTAACAGCCCCATATAACTTAAATAAACTTGTTTAAAAAAAAATATCGTTTGACATCACTAATATACACACACACACACACACACCTGAATGCAGTTTGAATACAGTTTGTTTTTGATAAAAATGTTTTCCAAATGCATGAATTTCATATTGCTTTAGTATGTTTTCTTGAATTAGAAAGCAATTTCTATGTGAAGAATATTGATTCATGAAAACATCACACTAACAAACGCAACTGCATTTGCTTCTAAAGGTATAGGGCTTGTGTTGGACACCGAATGAAATATATGAGCATTAATTGAGGAGGTCAAGAATTCAGACTTGGAATGCGACCTCTGACCTCTCTTTGAGCATGAATGCCAGCGACACAGCAGGCGTGGAGATGAGGTTAATCGGCCCTCTGTCCTTCAGCCGACACATGCACAGACACTGCCCACCACAATCCCTTCATTGTGCCTGAATTAAGCAAAAGGTATTTGATTCGACTCGTCTCTCTTCTGAAACCTGGCTCGGAAGGTCACTCCCCCCATTCTGTAAGATGGAGAAATCAACCTGATGCGGCCTGAAAGAGCGGATCAATTCCCATTCACGCGTTAAGCCGCCCGCAGTGAGAGGGCTGGAATTCAAGCCCAAATGTAATTTAGCGTACGGCAGTCAAGGGTGAGTAATATGACAGGAAGGATGGTGATTTAAACGGCTTTTACATGACTGGAGCACACCCAAAGAAAGACTCCAAATTTATTGCCACCAGTTGAGGTGATGCATTGCTACTTTTCCCCCCTCCATCCCTTAAGGCTGTTGTGCAGCGGCCAATCGGCGGGTTTCTAACTCTGAGCTCAGTGTTGCATCATGTCTAGATAAATGAGACAAATACAGCAGGCATCAGGGTGGTCGTGGCAACCCGTTCCAGCACCAGAGGAAGTCTCAGAGATTCATTTTTCAATGTATTTCCTCCTTTCCGCCTCTCGGCTAGACGGTCGTGTCGAAACTTTCAGCGCGTGCCGAAAAAGTTGGACAGCTTTTTCCATTCTCACATACATTACTCAGACGTGACTGTTGCATGGGTATTGCATTATGAAAAGTTCAGCACATTTAGTTTTAAGTCAGTAGTCATGTTTTTGCATAAAGATGGCGGATATGAAGTGGAAAGCTTTTGTTAAAGGATTACTTTACTCAAATTAAAAACAGTTTAATGTGTGACTTTCTTCTGTGGAACATAAAAGCAGATGTTTTGCAGAATGTCCCAGCTGATCTTTTTCTTAATGAAAGTGGTGATTTAAGCTGTCAATTTTAAAAAAACACCAAAAAGTATCACAACTGCATTACATTCAGAGTCTTCTCAAGTCTTCTGATAGCTTTGTGCGCAGACAAGTCCTTAAATCTAATTCATGCTCGCAGTTAATTCAAAACAGTCAAGTGCATTACATCATGATCAGTAACAAGATATATAGGAAACAATGATGTTTCATATCACTGATGTGCCACAGTGTGTCTAGAGGCGCTATGGTTAAATGTGAACATTACGAAAATGACTCCTATTATGTTCCTCAGAAGAAAGAAAGTCATATGGGTTTGGAACCACATGAGTGTGAGTAAATCATTACAGAATTTTCATTTTTAGGTGAAGTAACTGCATAATTTCTGATTAAAGCAGTAATACATGCTTGATACAGGTTCAAAAGACAGAAAAACTGACATTTTTCCATTGAGACTTAAATTTGTAGGTAAATACTTTGCAAAAAAATGCAAATGCAAAAAAGTTACCGTTTAAAAGTTTTCACACCAAGGAAGATAACTATATTGGGAAAGATATAACATTAGGTTTAAAAGTTGTTCTAAAATTAGTTTTTAAAATGAAATTAAATTAAAAATTAAAAAATAGTTTTAAAAAATAGCAGATTCCATGCCACAACTATAACGACATAAAAGGAACGATATCGTTGGAGTCCCTTTCTAAATTTTTTTTTTTCGAGCTGTTGAATAATAAAACATTGACAGCCAATCAGAATCCATCCTGCATTAAAAAGCTTGAGCATTTCAAGTGGCAGACAACAAAACTGCAGTGTGCACTTGTAATAAACAATATTTTTGTACATCAGTTTAGACGATAATATAGTTATTTGTATCTTTATAGTTATTGTTCTTGGCCTTTTTTAATTTATTGTTCTTGTTTTTTTCTTTGTTTTTTTTTTTTTGCTCATCCAAGGCTGCATTTATTTAATCAAAAATACAGTAAAAACTGTAATATTATGAAATATTATTAGAATTTAAAATACCTGCTTTCTATTTAAATATATGTTAAAATGTAATTTGAAGAGTTCATTTGCAAAAACCGATAACTCAGAAATCACGTTTTTTGTATTGCGCATTCCAAGTAATATCAATCAAACTGCAGTTGGGTTGTTTTGATTAAGTAATAATAACTTAAATAAATACAGGTAATTTACAAAATTAAAGTTCATTGAAAGTATGTTTTTTTACATATTAAAAGTTTGTATTATCAAGAAACATTTCAGATTATTATCAATGTTGAAAACATTCGTGGTGATGCATTTGTGGAAACGGTGATTCTTCGATGAATAAAAAGTTTATTTGAAATTATTATTATTTTTTTTTTTACATTATAAATGTCCTTACTGATACTTTTGATCAATTGAATGTGTCCTTGCTGAATAAAAGTATACATGCTTTAAGAAATGGACTCTTCATAAAGACAGCTGTTCATCACAAGATGCTCTTTAGCACAGTAAACAGAGTGTTGACATCTTCAAGGGAATGTCAACCTAAGTGCTAAACCACGAAATTGCACACCCTC